TTTACTGAAAAACTCAGAATTGACTTTCAATTTCTGTTTTCATATTTTTTTTTTTTGTTGTTGCTTTCTTCCCTCATATTGCCTTCGACCACTTAAAAAAAAAAAAATCTCAAAGATGAATCTGATCATTGCTGATCCCCTGGATTGATTTACAATATACTTTTTTTTTTTTCATATGCTTTTTGAGTGGTGTTGCATTTAATAACTGTTGTTTCTTTGTAGAAGTGTAATTCCTGTTTTGTTTTTTTTGTGAAATAATGAGACACCCCATTTAAAATATTAGCCATGATGGGCAGAGGAACTTAAAATAAGGAAAGATACTTTTCTAATTTGGAGGCAGTTACCTCTTCAAACCACCAGAGGGACACATGAAGCCATTATTACATTTAGGAGGTATATGTTCCTATGTCTTTTTTTCCATTAACACAAAGTTTTTGTTCTTCATGTTTTTTTTTTTTGGAGACAACTGGTGATAATCAGAAACATTCAACAAGGGAAATTCTGCTAATAGCAGAAGAAACAACACAAAAACATTTTTAATAGTAAGCAATAATGTATTGATTATATTTTATATCTCAATCACAATAATTCATCTCCCGGGAGAGTTGGCCTGAATTATGCTGTCATTTAAAATAATATATTAGATGTTTTTTTTTTTTACTCATTATTTTCAAACATTGTTTAATCATTAATTAAAACTGTACTTGCTAGCCTTAGTTACTCAGAATTTGCCACAATATAGCAGCCCTGGTCTTATGTCTACTTCAAATAATTAAGATAAACCTCTGGTGTTATATTTTGCACCCCTAATGATATTTAAAAATACCTATTTTCCATTGTTGGGCCATGTAAACTGCCCAACAATGGAAAAATTATCTACCGTACAAATAAGTAAAAACTGTCTTAAATTAATTGTATTTACCCTTAATTTGAGTAGGTAAATAAGATAATTTGCCATTGAAATGATTATTTTTACTCTTAAAATAAGATTATTAGATAATATGCACCTAAAATAAGACAATACAATGTTTTTTACTTATTTTAAATATGAATTGTCTTGTTCCATTGGCAGTGTTTCACTTTCCCCCTCAATTCATGAAAAAAGCACTTATTTTAAGAAAAATTACTTATTTATATTTAAATATTTTGCAGTAATTGGGACTTTTAATATTACAGCCAATTTCTTTAAATATTTAGTATTCTTATGATATATTGTTCTATTTCCAAAAGTGTAGCGTCGGAATCATGACCTTCATAGTATCTTTTAAAGCGGCGAAATAGGCTGTTCCAGGTTTAAAAAAAATAAAGACTCCACAGCAACAATCAACATCTAAAATTGAGCCCCTCAGGAAACAAAAAAAAAAGAAAACACCCAGTGGACCCTCTGTGGATCCACATGCCATGCAGACCTCCAGATACATTTTAAAAAACCCAATTTAGAAGCATGTCATGTGAGCTATATATTAGTCATGTGAGCAATGCAAAGGTTTTTTTTTTTTAAAGCAATTATTTGGAATGAATTTGTGACATTTTTTCTTGTGGATTATGAGGATGGTATAGCTCGTCTACATCTGTTATCACTCCCAAATGCTGCTACTAAACTACAAGCTCTCGGTCTGTTAATCCAGTTAGAACTTCCTAAAAGCAAAACAGCCACTATTAGCTCAAGCAATTATTGAAAATCCCTAAATACACGTCTCTGCATAATGTTAAACAGGCATTGGAAACTTTTATCAGAATCAGAATTACTTTATAAATCAGAAATTTTTTATTCAACAATATGAAGGTTAAGGAAATAAACTAGGAAGCTCAGACATCTGCACAGTTAAACTCTCTTTTTCTGTCCGTTGCAACTCATTAAACAACCCAAATCCGCTCAAGAGGAGGAAAATAATCAGGTAGAGGGATTAGAGGAAGAATGAGAGGGAGGGGGGGTAGAGTTTTAGAAAGTTGGTGGAGGAGGAGATTAGAGAAGTGGGCAAAAGAGAAAATTAAATGGGAAAGAATGGAGAGCCTGAAAAGGAGGCGGTAGAATGAAGGGAAGAGACTTTGATTGGAGGTTTGTGGAAGCACAGGGTAAGGAGGAAGCAGAAAAGGGTGGCAGAGATGTAATAGGGGGGTGGGGGGGTCCTTTCACCTGCTAATAAATTCCTCTGCTGAGAAGTAAGGTTATATAGAGACCGATTCTTTCAGTGAAACTGATGGACAACGGTTACAGTTCAGCAGGGCTATTTTCCTCTCCTTTTGTACATGTCTTTGACCCCCACCCGAATGCAATCTCAGTGGAGCAGGAACAGGGGGGGGGGGTTGTTTGACTCGAGGTGGGGGCTCTGGAGCTGCTCTCAAAACTGCTCCTGTTTCTGTGACAAAACAGATTTCTAAAGACATGATTGGATAAATCTAAGGAATACTGTTAAACTGTAAAAGCTCAGTTTTATTCCAAACAGATTGTATCTAACAGTGTCTTTAAAATGTTGGGTTTAGTTGAATGCATTAATGAGAAAATCATGTCATTTACATCGTTTGCAGCCTCTGTATTGAGGAGAGGATTCTCCTCAATTGTTCTAACTTCCTTAAATCTCGTTTGGGAATTCGATGGAATAATAACGTTAGGAGGTGTCATATAGGGAATTATGAAATGTTTTCCACTAAATAGGCTTTTTTATGATCGCTTCTGAGTCATTTTTTCAAGGAGTAAAAATGTAACTTTAACTTGTCCAATTTGACTAAAAAAATGGAAACTACTGCGAAATGACAACCTTATAAAGTATTTTTTTACATTTCTCCACAAAATTTGGTGGTTTGTATCCTATGTATCGAATCTGTCAATAAAGTCAACAAGAAACTGACTATTTTTTCTTTTGCAAGGCAATGGCCAATATTTAATGATGATGTAGGATGCTGACAACCCTCTAAAGAAGTCTGAGTGCTAAATATGAAAGAGAAGCTCGTTTGTCTAAAGTATGGCTTTAAAGGCGTGCAGACATATGCAACAAGATTATTGCAGCCTTTTTTTCTCACAGCTTTTATATTTTACAATATTGCAATGACTGATCACCACATCTGATAATCTGCAATCAACTGCAAAACTGTTAGGACAAAAGAATAATTTAAAAGTGCAAGATGTGTTGATATGTGAGAACAGTAACACACCCAACTTGGTTTATTTGCTTTCATTTCCTTTAATTAGTTGGGGTTAGCTTAAATAACTCTTTAGAAAAAACCCTCTAGATGTGATTGACTGAGTTACTAAAATGTATTGCTATTATTACTATACAGCTCCACAAACTGTTGCAGTTTCCTACTCTCAAGCACTTTTCACCCCCCACCTCTTAATTCATTCAGCTTCTTGCACTCATGCATGGCGGGATACTCAGTCTTCTAGACAAAACCTCGTCTCCACGGCCCATATGTTGACCAGTGGTGGACCTGAATGCAGCCATCTGCCTGCCTTCCCTATGTCCTGCAGCGCAGGAGTGTGGGATAATAATCTCTCTGGGAAACAATGACACATACCCATACAGGCCTTCACATGCCTCTAACGCTGCACAGAAAATGAGTCAGTTCCAGAACAGCCCCCATCTTAAGATGTAGGGACAAGATGATAAAACTAAGTGCGTTCATAAGGAAAATATTCCGATTTCTTTGGTCAAAAACAAGACCAGCAACTTAGTTTAACTGAAAAAAAATGTTAACGTCTTAATATATTTTTCTAAGACAGTGATGCATTAAAAAACCTGATATATTAGCCATAAAAACTTAAAGGATAAACTACATTACACCCAAGCCTGCTAATCTGTAAAGGTAAAAGGCAGCGTAGCTCATAGCTTGTTTTTTCTTTACAGGAATTAAGATTAAGAGTTGCAGCTTCAGGCTAAAATTTACTAAAAGCTCCACCAGAATGGCTTAAATCGAAGCATATTACTGTGTTAGAATGGCCAACATGAAGCTGCAGTGGAAGTGTTTCAAAAGAGACCAATACAAATTGTCGCCACAATTATGTTCTGCGCAAAACATTTTTTTCTGCTTCCTCTTCACGGGTATGTGCAACTTTGTTAGATTATCCTAGTATTTCAAATAAATACACTAAAACTCCATCATGGAATGTATTGTAGATAAGCACTTCAAGCCATGGTGACTAAAAGCCTGGCTGTGAAAACAATGACAGAATCTAATGTGGAAAAAATCTGGAGATTTAATTCAAAATGTTAATTTAGCAGTGATGCATGGTTGGTTATCAAATTTAGATCATTACAAGCCTTGCAGCACCAGGCGTGTAAAACATTGTTCCTTGAGTTTTAGCATCAGTTAACTTGAAGGAATTAACCATAGATGGAGGAACCTTCCTCCCCACAAACAAGCTCATCCTCTACTGATCATTTTAAACCCGATTGTTTTTTTTTATTTCAGCAATTTTCCAAAATGCAAAAAACAAAATAGTGATTCTGCAATATTTCCATATACACACACAATGCTTTACAAGCAAATAGGTGCATATAAAAAATTAGAAAGGCTTATTATTTAGGCTAATTGAAATATAAAAGTATCTGCTAATATAAAAGATGATCAATCAACAACCCTGTTGTATAACTTGACACCTTTAGATTAGATGCTTGGAAACCTGTGACAGTGAAACTGCTACAAAAACATTTCTTTCACGCAGAAAAAAATGCTAAACTTCAAAAACAGACATCAGATGTGATGCCAGTGTTAGAATAATTTTTGTGTTTATACTCCAACCTAACCCACTGAGTCACAGGGTGGGTAGTCAATGCAAACCAGATGTGACAGTTCACACATATCCTGCTTCCTTCCTGCTCGCTGCACCTCAAAACCTGTGAATGGCTGCTGCTGCATACCGCCTACATCAAAGCCAACACGTGTAAAGGAAGAGAAAACCGTGCAAGATTAAGCAGATGGAAATCATATATTTGTCATTACCTAAAAGGCTGGTTAAATAAGGAAAAGAAGCAAAACTTTTTTAAAAAGGAGAAAAAAAAAAAACTTTATTTTCAGTACAAAAAGGTAGAAGAAACCCAAATATATTAAACTCGGTACAAGCATCAACTGAGAAGTCCTCTATAAATACGTTAAAATAAATTAAAGAAATTAATTTACTAAAGATGAACGCCTTCATCTTTAACAGGTCTGAAACTCATCGACAAAAAAGGGGGATTCTTAAATAGAGAAGGAACATCACGACACCCGTTCGTCTAACCAGACCGTCAACACACAAAAAACAGCTGAGTAAGGTCTCTAAAACACTAACGCATGTACCCTAAACCTCTACAGTATGCTGGATTCATTTCAGTAAGGCAACAGACGCTTTTATTGGATCTTGTCTGGAGAACAGTAAACAGCCAAGAAGTAATACTGGATGATGAAGCAAAATCAACAATGTTATAGCGGAAAAAACAAAAACAAAAAAAACAACAAAGGTTTAATGCCAGTAATCCAAGCAAAAAAAAAAAAAAAAAACATTTGAAAAGCTTAAACAACTGTGTGTTAGATACACCATAGTTTGGGAGTCTGAACTAGAAAAACAGGTGATCTTTGGCTTTGTCTTGTACTACAAACCTTTCATACAACATGAAGTCAACGAACAACTTGGCTGATCACACCGATCACATTTGTTGGCAGTGTTGCCTTCAAGGCACATATAGACAATTTAGATAAAGAATAAAAGCCTATCCGTCAATATAAAACAACCATTGCGACATATTTTCACATACTGCCACATTAATCTCAACAGGAATCTCTAAAGTGTTTTAAATCTGCCATTTAGTCCTCATTTCCTTTAATGCCGTTGGAGGTGCAAATGATACCTTAGGTCAAAAATATTTCCCTTAGCTTATAGAGACCAGCAGCATCTTAGGGAACAGAGAGCTGGCTGAACACTGCCAAGCGTTTTCCATTACCGTCTTTACTACCCCCACAGGATTCAAAGCCGCTGAGAGAGCTTGCAGAGCTGCCTCCATCTTGGTCCTGGTCTGAAAGTGAGGTGTAGGACAGGGAGCGGGTGCCCAACGACCCCAGGAAGACATCGGTGGCACCGGGGCTCTGACGGAGGGAGGGTGAGCTGGTGGGAGACAGTCCGCTGGGCGAGTAGCCCGAGTCGGGTGAGGGCAGGAAAGGGGAGCGTAGGTCGGCCTGCCCGACCTGGGCTGCAGAGGGCTCACGCATTGGAGCGCCGGATGCCTCAAAAGCAGAGCCCAACTCCAAAAAGGCACTGGAGAGGAGGTCGGTGATGTCGGCGCAGGACGTAGGCGAGCCAGATGAGCTGCATGTAAAAGAGCCTGCAGCAGAAGGTGGAGTGGCGTCGGTCAGAACAGACTGGAGGACGTACTGAGGAGATGAAGGAAATCCAGCAAAGCTGAAACTCTGCCTGACAAGGGGAGGCCTGTTTGGGCGCAAAGTAGCGGAGGAGGAACCTGCTGGCTGGTGAGGAATGTTGAGGGAGGAGGAGACGGATAAGGAGGAACGAGAGAAGGTGGGCTTCTTCTCCTCCTCACTGTTGTGGATAAAGTGACAGCGGATCCCGTAGGGGCAGAAGCCAATAGAGTGAAAGGTGCGGCATGGCTCGGTCTTGTACTTTGGATGTCTGTTAAGATCACGCAGCTCTTCTGGGCCGTGGGCAAACTGGCATCTCCCGCCATACTTGCACTGGCCGTTCTCTGTGAAAGATCTACAGAGTTCGGTTTTGTAGCGTGACGAAGAGCCCGATGAAGAGGAGGCGGCAGCTTGTAAAGGAGTGGGACTAAACTCACTTTTGGACGTATGGAGTTCAGTAGAGGACCAGTTTAGACTAGCTTCTGGCATGCTCCTGGTTTCCACCAGGCTGACTGAACGCTGGGAGAGAAAACCAAACTTTCCCCACTGGTTGGAGCTAGCAGCAGGCTGGGAGGGGACAGGGCTATCTGAGGGCTGCCCCCATAGGCTGGAGGTCGGAAATGGGCCTTCTGAAAAATCTGGAGGGAGACTGGACACAGAAAACGAGGCGCTTCTGCAGAGCTCGCCGACATAACCTGGAGAACTCTTGGCCATATTCAGAGGGAGGGCGGGGTGGTTCTGCTCTCCAAGGTCAAGGCTGAGTAAATGCTGTAAATAGAAAATAAAAAAGGTTTTAAAATATGAAACAGTACTTTATTTCACATTTTTCACGGCAGGATTTCATTGCTTCATGACCATAAAAGCTTGCTGTAAAGCCTCTATTGTGGCAATATTGCCCCCCCTAATCTATAAATAATTAGATAGACAAAAGGTTCCTTAAAGAAGACTTTTCTGCAAAATTAAACCCGGTGAGACTAAAAGTTTTCCACTTGAGTTCTGAATAGAGCATATTGACAGACAAAAGATTTAGGTCTTAAATGCAAAATGTTTACATATTTTTTTTATAATTACTGCTCCAGGTGGGTTGCTCTGTCAGCTAAGGACACAGTTTAGAGTCTCTATACTCTAGTTAAGGATTAACTGATCAGTAGACAATTATTTCAATAATCAATCCAATTAATTGTTTCAGCCCATGTTTATAAACGCCACCTTAAAGGGATGGAGTGCAAACGAAAGCATCTTATTTAAAAACATCGCATTTAATGTAATGTGTCCAAAATCGAGTCTCTCTGCAATTTGATTGTTTTGTTCTGTTGTGATAAAATTGTATATATATATATATTTTACTGAATTTGCATTGTAATTCGTCACAATAATCCAAGTATTTTTTTGTTGCTCAGCTGCACAACCATTACATCTTTATACACAAACCATGTTGTAATACCCAAGAAGAATACCCTACATTTTAACATGCGGTGTGTCCTTTTTGGAGTGCAGTCGGCAGCATTCCCACTCTTTGCAGTTTTTAAAAAACCATGCATCCATGAAGGCAAAATCAGTATCTGTAATTTTTTTGTACATTGTTTAGCACCTTCCAGCTGTTTTGATCAGTTTCTAGTTCCTAACACTGGAAATGCAAGTTATTCATTTTTTAACGTCTTGAAAAGGAGTAAGTTTAAAAAAATTAAATGAAATGCATTACTCATAATGCCAGTACAGCCTATTAAAACACACAACAGGTGAGGCCATCAAGAGAGGTTATTTTTCTGATTTCATGCATTTACACTTTTGCATTTCTATAAATACTTTCTGATCGGATTAATTCTTACATCCTGTAAAAAAAAAAAAAAAAGAATTGGGTTGGCTTATCACATCTTAGATAAAATGTTTGAAATACATTAACTTGATATTTCCTTAGTTATTGAGATGCAACTGCAGGATAATTAGAGGGCCATCATATCATCCATCAGCTTATTCTTGGTGAACTTTGTAAAAGACACAACTATCTTGATGTTTGCTAAAAAAAAAATTCCAAAAAGTTTGCTTAAAACTGTTCCAGAGCTCAGAGCAACCCGGTTATATCAATGCCCCCATCATATCAATGTTTTCATTTTAGCTTTTTATGGACCATGTGCAGAGAGACAGTTTTTTTTCTTGTTACATGCAAATAAACACGTGAGTGAACTAGATGCTCTGATATATTAGTCAATGTGTTACTGGTGTTTTGCAGAAACTCAACCTTCGTTTATGCACAACATGTCCGTGAGGTCTGCGTAGCCAAATTATCTCATTCTGGGCTTCCATGCCGCTCCACACGCGTCCATGAGGACAGAATGTCCGCATTAAGCACCTAAGAGAATCTGCAACTTCACGGACAGCTCAGCGCAGAAAAACGTGGCAAACAAGCAGCTTCTCCTACCGGCGAGGCTTCCCAAATGCAAACATCTAAAGACACCCTGCGATTTAACCAATACACCCCACCACCATTAACAGATCATGGAAAAACTATTGCAAAGAAATAATTGTCACTCCTGGATGGCATGAAGAGGCATTGGAAAAAGTTTTAACAGTTGTGTTTTCTATTTCTGAGTATAATGGTGTTGTCAGCTTGAACACCTCCTGAAGAATAGCCTTTCAGCCTTACGGATGCTATTGTGCAACAGAGACACATGAATGCTGCTGGTAGAATTAGGAACGAAGCCTTCTGGAAAAGGACAAAAAAAAAAAAGAATGACTGAAGCTCTCCATTATAACAAGTATGAGGGTGTGTATTCTATGTATCACACAAACTACATGTGAAGGAATAACATTTTTGTTTAACTTTGTGAGGTGGGTTGCTTAAATATGGCCTCTTAACAAGGGATTGTGGGAAACTATATAGCTCCTAACAGCAGCAAGGAATATCAAGAGGTCCCTATACTAAATTAATTGGTGCACTGAAAAAAACAGCACAGTGCAGCATAAGAAACTGAATAAATAACTGTTCAAACACTTAAGCTGCATTTTTGCTATGACTCTGTTAAACTGCAACGTTTTTTTCCCTCTCTTTTCTAGCTTCAATTCAGTTCGTTAGATCTAAAAAAAAAACAAAAAAACAATTGATTCATCATGATTAATTGATTATTGAAATAATTGTCACTTTATTAATCCAATTAATCATTAACTGTAGTATAAAGACAGTAAAACACGCCTTTAGCTGACAGAGAAACACACTTAGAGCAGTAATTATAACAAAATTGTAAGAAAGATGCATCAATATTTAGCATTTCATAAAGAAATGTCTGTCAGTATGCTCTAATCAGAATTCAACCTGGTTTCATTCTGTAAATCTTCTTTAAGGAACCTTTTCTGATCTGATTATTAATCGATTAATAGAAAAAAATTATAGACAGATCAATCAATTAACAAAATAATCATTAGTTGCAGTCCTACAGTTAATAAAAAGAGTTATTTGAACCAGAAAAATCTGTCCACTATTTTTTGAGCACGTTGACATAAAGACAGCGTGATCAATCTGAGATAACTGTTCAAAATAAGGTTTTAGTGCCCAATTCTTATCACCTACACCACTGCAATATTTGATTGCATTGCACTGCAAGATTCTTGCTGAATAAATTTGGATGGAGAAAAAAAAAGCACATAAATATGAATCTATATAAATACCAAACCGCTCCTACAGCCTAAATATAAACAACAATCAAAGGAAATCCTTAAAGACAAGTATTTTGCAGAGATGCAACAAGTTGGTTTTTATCCAACAGCACATCATTTTGGGTTTAATCAGTCCTGATCAGTTACTGGGTGATAAAAAAAAACATTAAAGGAAAAGTCAATTAGAAATTGACAAGATCAAAAACTGCTGCTGCTTTTGTCTTAAAAACTAACAATATAACCACAAACTAAACTTATATGCAACAAATGAGGGCTTCTAATGGCATATAAAAATCTTTTGAGTTCAGCTTCATCAACAAAATAGATCTGATGCTCTCCAAGCAGGTTTATAAACATTAACTTTAGTATTAAGCTAAAAAAAGCAACAGTTTATAGAAATATAAAGTAGAAATAGAAGCAGGCGATGACTGTAGCCTAATACAAAACAAAAAGCAACTCAGCCTAACTTTGCAAAGTCCAATGTTCTGATTCAACTTTAGTAGAGTTGATTTATTTAGCTTAGCCTATTTCATTTAGTGTGGAAAGACAGGAAGTAGAAGCTCTGATAAGAAAATCAGTGTGAAAGTTGTAAGAAAGTTGCTCAAACAGTTTGATGCTAGCCTGATGTTATGAAGAAGTTAGACAACAAGCGCCAAATCGCTCAAAACTGAAACAAATTCACTTCAAAACTTTCAAAAAAAAAACACAGAAGTAATAAGATAAAACCTGCGCTTCAAAATTAAAAGACTACTTTATTCGTAACTCAAGGCTAGAACGTGTTAAAACAGCGCGAGAGGAGGAGTTGTGAAGTTTTGCTAGCAGCTAACAAGCTAACGTGAAGTGAGCTTTAGCGAACTAACGTCTTCCTATCTTAGCTTATCTTCCGCCTTCAGCTCTTCTTACCTTGCTCATCGTGTCCTCCAGCTCCGAGAACTGCTTGAAAGGGTGAGCTGGCATTTTCGCCGAAATATCAAGGCCTCCGGTCGGTCCAGTTTATTCGAGCCGGACTTGTGCAGTGCAATGGCATGAGAGCGAGTTTGGTGGTTCAGAAGTTTCTAGCCGCGTGAGACCACGTGTGGATTTAAACAGCGCCGTTAGGCTCCGCCCTCTGGAAGTATGCATGCAGCGCTCCGAGGCAACCATCTGCAGCCATTTATTTCATTCAGTTCAAGTAGGCTACAGAAATGTTCGCTTAAAAGGGAATTCTATAGGAGGAGATCTGCATAAAGCACTGCAGATGCTTTAAAGAAACAAATGTTGCTCTGCAGCTTATCTACATTGTTGGGCTGGCTGTTAGAGACCCATTTCATCAAAGATTACTCAGAATAAGAGATAAAACCAGGCTTAAACTAGCCTGATCAATGCATTCAAACCAAGTTGGAATAAACTCCCAGAAAAAAAATGTTAAAGTGATGAAACCCTAAGTTGATATAAAGAAATAAGACACACATTTGTTTAGATAGGCCTTTAACCCTATACTCAGTGAAATACTTTGAAAATAAACATTTTAAACTCATAGATTATGGAATTGGAAAGTCAGTTTCAATTAATAACAAATTAAACCAACTTGCCCGAATAGATTAAGAATAACAAAAGTGCTTCTATAAGAAATTAATGAAAAACACTCTGAGAGTGAAAGAAACACAATGATTTTTGATACAACTTAACCTTAGAGGCATTAATGTTGATACATTCTTTAGTTTATAAACCTACATATAATTATTAACTAACTTTACTTTTTAGCTTTTCAATGATCTTTTTACCTTTTTTTTCTTGACTTGTTAAATCTTTTTTCCAACTTAATTTCAGAAGGTAATATATCATTCAAGGGCTCATCTATTTGGTCAAATGCCAAAATAAGATGTACAGCAGCATCTTAGCTGAATGGCTGGATATAGATCTTGTGCATATAGACCTCACTGAAGGAAGGGGGGGCTACACTTGTAAGGGGTATGCAAGTGATCAAAAATGGTAAATTGCCCTATAAAGGGTTAACTAAGATATCTAAACATAATTAGTTAAGTTTTTTGTTTAATGTTCCTTTCTTTTTAATCAACAATTTTAACTTTTTTTTATTGATCATCCAATGTCAGATTTTCATGTTTTTTTTTTACCTTTATTTGTGTTGCAGTTATTCTATTGCAATGTACTTTTATTTTTTTCCCCCCCATGTAAAAAACTTTGAATTGTCTTGTAACTGAAATATAATATGTCAATAAACTCTGCTTGCCTTGCCAGGTGCAGCCGAGTCAGGTCCAGTGGCAGATATGTAGAAAATTGTACATGAGAGGGTAAAAGAGGCACACAATGGAGCTCTTCTGAAAAAAAAAAAAAAACTCTTAAAACATCAATTCCCTTTCTCTTTGAAGAAACAATTGCCACACTTAGATATAGGCTAACTGAGGAAAAGTAATGTTTTACAAATAAATATCTAAATATAAAATGTAAATCCAGACAAAATCCTTAAATTATCATACAGGACTCCTTTCAGTCATCACTTTTTGGAGAGCTTATAGTGATGATTGCTGCCAAAATGTCTCAGATTTAATCTAATATCTTTGAACAAACATAGGATAATTACATACCAGGTGGTCTAGTCAGGGGCAGATTTAGGAAATTTGGGGCCCTAGGCAACAACAGGCATGGGGCCTGCTGAATTGACCCATTATAGAGATACAGAGATGTTAATAAAATAGACATCCATTCTGCAGGTTTCGTCCCTCTCTTCTTGTCCCTTTTCTTGTAGTTTTCCTCTATATGTTTTGTACTGAGCTCACTTTTCATGCTGTCTCAAAAGGAATAGAAGATTTTTTTCCAATCACTAAGCTCACTTAGCCGATTGCTCCTTCCTGTGTTTCCAAAGAGGCACCATAGACAAGCAATGATCTGCTTATTTGTTCTCAATTTTTCATTTGGATGAGATAATAGCTGCATGAATCATGACAGCAGACAAGATAGAGGAGAGCAGGAGGCGGGGTTACCAATCTACTTGCTCTGGTGAGCAGAGTTAGCTGCTTTTATATGTTGTAGCCAAAGTCTACACTAACAGAAAAAAAAGTCACTAGATTAGGCACTAGGTGCTTTTCTGGAATAAAAGCACTAGAGGGGTCTGAAAAGTTGCTAAATATAGCAACAAAAGCACTAAATTGGCAACACTGCTCTTCGCGTTGTGTGTTTTCAACTGGTTTGCTGCTGTCTGTTTGGACCTTTCTGAAAATTTGCAGCAAATGGACTGATCCAATGTGGTGGACACTGAAGGGGGGCAGAGACACACTTAATATTATAGTTTCATCAAAAACATAATGTGCACAAATATAAATTAAAAATATATATTTTATGGGGCCCCCAGGAATTTGGGGCCCTAGGCAACTGCCTAGTATTGCCTAATGGTAAATCCCCCTCTGGGTCTAGTTAGATAGGCTGGATTCATGGATTCTGTGCATTTCTCCCTCATCAGTTTCCTTTTCATAGCTTATTTCGTGTCCTTGAGTCTGGAATCTTTAATCATTTCATCTCTACATCCTATGCTAAAAAAAAAGTCCTAATTATT